ATTCCCCATACGGACAGCAATACCCACATCATAGTCCTCCGCCACCATGTGGACCATCACCACATGTTCATGTTCCCCCTCCAGTGAGTTATCCATATAACTTACCAAGATTAAATTTACGGGACTACGATGTAACCTCAGCTTGATCAACTTCTAGGTAGTTGTCCATGATCATCATCATCACGACAGCCATCATGGTCATCATGACCACCACCATGACCATCACCATGACCATCACCATCATGACCATCACCACCATGACCATCACCATGGTCACCACTGAATTTGAGGAAGCACCCATTTTTTCGAATGTGCAAATTGTACTTCTATGCTTGAAATTGTGTACCTATTTTGTAATAAATATGTACATAGATGAGGTTTTTATGATGCCAGCAGAAAAAATAGACATTTTTGGGTCAAAAAGACATTCGGCCAGAGGAAGGGATGGCCTAAGAAGGAAAGAAAATATCAGAACGCAAAAAAATGTTTTTATTTCAAATTAAGTCAAGCAATATTTGGCGACAAAGCCAACTTATGGGTCTCAGTACCGGGTTTTTTTGCAGATTACCATATGATTAATGAGGTAGATTACGGTAAAATAGGAAAAACCCAACTTCGAAATGTTCTATGATTTAAATGATAGATTTTGTGGTGCATAAAACTTCAAGGAAAATACTAAATATTTTAAAAACTCATAGAGCAAAAATCAATATGTGTTTTTTGCGCGTTCCAAGTATTCACTTCTTTTTGAAGGTATATGGTTTAATACAAGTAGCATCTATGTAGGTCCTAAGCGTGATTTTAAATCTTGCAGCAGTCATCGTTATAAAAAGCTGATTCATTCCGCAATATTGCGTAAACGTACGCATTTATTTATCTAGGACGGTCACGCCTACACAAAGACACATTTTCTCAATAAATAGACGGATCGTGCCAAGAGCTATCTCACCGCTACCATGTCTTATCACAATCAGGTATGACTGCAATCACATTGGAATTATTGATTACTTCTGATAAATCTTAATCAATTCATTTATCTTTGCTACAGTACCCAGGACAAGGACCACCAGGTTACAATCCTTATGGCCAACAATATCCTCAACAGTATCCTGGTCCACCACCACCAATGGTGCATCAAGGACCGCCA